GTTAGCATAACTCCTGCTAGTCGCTGGAGAAAGAACCGGCAGCCTCCTCACAGTCCGGCGTTATGTAAGCGTGTCAGCACATCCTAGCAGAGCCCGACCTGCACGTGCAGAATATGGAATCTTTACAGCACAAGGAACCACCAACTAATCATTTGTTTGGCCTGACAGCGAGAAAACCTCCCTAAACTCAGTCCAAGATAATAATGACATTCAGGAATTCCATTTTCCAAACCACCACATTTCTCAGGAGTTGGAGCTAAACACGGCATGTTTATGAATACGTCTTATAGATTAACCCTTAAGGTGAACATGTGTTGTTGGTTGTTGCCTGTTGGACTTACAGCAGGGACACAGAGGGAAAAACTGCTGAAAATAAAGTCAATTATAACAACGCACATGGGACCTGCTTGCTCAATAGTGTTGAAACTCATGACTTACACATTTGAGAAATTTCCTGCACAGTCTGCTCAGGCTTACGGGGTTTAATTTAATTAAAATAACCTTCCCGTCATTACTGAATCAGTTTTTTTGGTAAGATATTATTAGATTAGTCAAATACACAGCAAATCTTTTCTTCTGCTTACAGATTGGTTTGGCTCAGTTTGGCTCTAAATGTGAATTTATGCTTCATTTTCTTCTAAAAACAAATAAAGTCAGCACCGATTCGTAGTTGAATATATGAACTTTATTACACTTGTGGACTGTTTATGTCGACAGAAAAGCAGTGAAGTACAGATTCAAGCGATGCATCACCATCTTGGACTAAACAGCGCGACGCCAGCGTTTCCACTCAGTGTGTTCGCCACCAACACAGGACTCCATGCTGCAGTCTGTCGGGGTCAGAGAACGATCGGGAGAACTCGAGAGCATCTCTCTCCGATCGGGCTGAAACATGAGGCGGACGATTTCCCAATCCGTGTTCATGGAATGCAGTCAGTCTTCTTATGTACATGTGATTTACAGGACCGGCACAGAAGCGCACGGGGAGGCTCATGGAAACGGGAAATACCTCGGTTCTGCGGCTCGTGAAGCATGTTCCGTGCCACGTGGGAATCAAATCGTAGTTAGTTGAGTGTTTTATCGTGTTATAGGCTCATGATGATTCATAGCAAACCACAAGCATGGTCCTAATGTGAACACACATACTGGCATATAGCTGCAGTTAGACACACCGACCAGCCA